GCGAGAGGTAGTTTAGGATTAGGAGTCCCACAAAGGGTAGGATTAGGATAAATGAGTTTTTTACGCTGAGTAGGGTACCACCAATAACCTCCTAACAACCCCGCAAAGTCAGTGGGGGATCTTGTTCCAACCGCCAAGATGCGATTCCCCCTCAACGCACGGGATTTGGAAACAATCCTCCGCGATGTCGTGAATAGGGCTTCGCCGGCGCGAATACAGGTCCAGGGCAAAGGCGTGTTAATCGTTGGCCATTCCACCGCCGACGTTCGATTCACTGCCCTTTCCAATGGGCGTTCACTGATAGACTGACCATGATGATTACCATCTTTCAGATCAATAATATATACGGTTTCGTCAAACATCTCATACGCGGATAACAGCGATTCATCGCCTACCAATTACGACAAAGGCAGGATTCAGAATCTCCACCCTTTCAACGACATAACTCTACATTTTTTATATGTATATCAAGCGAGGGTTTGTCCTCCTCTCGCTGGTTAGATCTCTTTCGTTTCCGAAGTAACCCATTAGGTCTGGGAACATTCCCATGAGGTTTCCTTGCATATTCAGCATCTCTGGACGCCGGTGTCTCCAATTGCACTTTGCAATGGTTAGCTCCCACCTGGCCGATTACACCCGGAGCCATAGCATCCTCGATGAATCGCCGCCAGCTGCTCTCCTGGTTCTTCAAACTGGCCACCAAGAGAGTAGAGAAAATCTTCATTAGCCATTCTCCGGGCCAGATTGGCCATTCGAGGAGAGAGGAGAGAGCTCCTCGCATTGGGTTTTTATTAGAGATTAACATAGGCAAACATTAATGTGGGTTTGGTTGTTGGTAACTTGGTATTCAACATAATCGGTTGACACACTTGCAATTAATGTATCCTAATAATTTTCTAACCGACAGTTTAGTTCATTGAGGCGACTCTTGAGTCTTTATCTTCATTGTACTTATTTAGGTTGTTCCTTCGATCTAAACTTAGCGTATTAGTTTTCGTATGGTTCTATTAACGACTTTGTCGTTCCTTTGCTTAATCAGTTTGAGGACGCGGGGCTATAAACTCATTTTTATAAATAAAGAAGTCACAATACCCCCTCTTAGATTGGATACTTTTATATTTACGTTTCCCTTTGAAGTTCAAAATTATACATCTTTTTGTTCAATAATATATATTTTTTCAATTGTATGTGTCTCTTTTTATTCCAAAATAAACTTTAACAAGTGTTTGGGAGACAGTGGCACATCTGAACAGGTTCATTGTCCCACAATTTTAATGTCTTCCTATATATGATGCACATGATTTAGTCATTTTAGTAGTTTCTTATGCAAATTTTGATTCATCCTATGTATATATGCTTAATAAGATTATTTTTTATTCCCATGAATAAAAAAATTATATTGGCAATGTAGCTATGTTTCCTACGTAAAGTTCTATACTATGTTATGTTGTCACATACTTTAAATTTTGTTAGATCTTTCCTTCGAGTCGATAACTTATAACATATTTCAACTGTATGGAAATATGATTCCAAATCATGTGTTTACCTCTATAATCTTACTATCTACAATTGTAGGTATTCAGACACACATAGACAAGTAGTTGAGGATTCGAAATTATATGATTTTGGTCACTTCTAGGCCGTTGATTCTGAAAAATTCCATCGCTCCACGAATTATACTCATATTATTCTTGACCTCAATCTAATCGTGAAATGCAGAGACTTTCTTGGTCCAATAGCATCACCCGATGCAGAATTTCTACTAGTTTTGGCCGTAAACTGCCGATCGAATACATTGCATACCTTAATGGCAACAGCTGAAGCCTATAATCAGCCGGCTTATTGAACCATTTGGCTGGCAGATTCAAACTGCAACGTAAATTTCACTATGTCTTTTGTCTCCGCAAATCCGGCAGCGGTTTTAACTTCTTCCTCCAACAGCATTGCAGAAATCTAGCATCTCCCTTCCGGCCGCCCAAAATTTAGGTTTCCACCTTATCTTGCACGTTACTACGTCCGAACAAGAATTCACCGAAAACAAGGTTGACGAATTGCCGGAATATTATTCTTTTAGGGGCTATCACTAGGAATCATTTGGTTTGAACTACAAAAACACTATAAGACTAATCGGCTCGGTAACACTATCGGTATGTAAAGGTATTGGAATATATAAGAGGTAACGATTTTCTTGACAGAGATGTCAACTAACATGTTAAGAATATGAGGGGAAAAAACTGATTATATGAATATCAGTTAAGTATATGAAGATTATTGACTGACCTAGAGATCGTTTTACATTTACTTGATGTTCTCTATTTGTTTCATTTTCTTACTACTTCTCGTTTAGTTATCAACACAATTTCCATCTTAAGTATGTTTAAATATCAACCCCGGCCGGTCCGTCTACCCCTAATTCAGTCATTTGAATCATTATCTAGCAACAAAGTTTTACTTTTTTTTTCTTTCGAGAAAAAAAGTAAAACAAGACAAAGGTGAATGGTTTTGAAAGCTCTTTTGTAGAAGGATAACTCGGGTGTCGCTTCCCCCGAACTACTACCATGGTATGTGAATCGAAATGATTGATATGGGCGAGGTGATTGTTGGGATTTTTAGTGGTGTGAATGGAAATAAAAAGGGAAAAATTTCAAGAGAGTCTCTTGAAGTACCATGTTGGTAAGATGTGGGAAGGCATGGCCTCGAATTCGATCGATTTGATGTAATATGAGGTTAATTGGTTTGTGTAACCAAATGAACCAAACCGAGTTGAACCAAATCGAACCGAACCAATGAGGCGGTTGGACTAACCAAACGGGTCCAATTACCATGGACCGAACCAATGCAATGGTTCATTATTTTAAAACGAACCAATGCGTTGGTTGGGGTGTAACCACCCCATATGAAGAGTTGCCTCCCTTCAATGTACCCCTTCATTTTCTATAAATTTTACCATACCCCCTCTTGTTTTAACTACGAGATACATGGATTTTTCCGGTACCAAAATTCTGCCAAAATCCAAAACTAGTTTTCTGCATTCTTTTCAAAGAGAAAAATAGAGTCAAGTGTGGTTCTCGCCGGTTTGCTGCGTTCGATGGGTTTCGGGGTTTGAGGTACCGCTACATCGAAAAAGGTACGTCCTTTCTATCCTGGGAGGAATCATTCCATAACCTTGGGTACTTGAGGGGAATAAGATTCTTTAAGGAGAGATAGTGAATTCTATCGGCTAGGACGCTTGCATGTGTCTTTGCATGTTTTCTTAATCTTATGTGTTTGCTTGTGTTGCAAGAAAATAGTATACGTGAACAATTTCTCCAACAGTGATCGCTAACCGCTAGGGGACGCAAATATGGTCGTAAACTACACTCATGATTGCTAAACAGAGGCATGCATTATAGGCTGTCACTAGGCCCTCTCGGTTTAGGCAATCGATGGTTGACCTACTCCCTCACTCAACCCAAGGGTTGGACGACTTAATCGCGCTTAACCAAATTGCTTAATTCAATATTGAGGTTTGCCCTAAATTAACCTAGTTAGAAGACTTAAAAAGCCCCCTAGGGATACCAACTCAATTGAGACTCCCTTGGTAGGGGGTTTCCCTCTCTAGACTAAGTTAAGTGGCTAATTAGATTGCAAAGCATAGATATGCACAATCCTTAGGTTGCTAAGCATAGACATGCACAAACCTAAGAATGCTAAGCACAAACATGCACAATCAAGATGAATAATACCTCAAACATTTGAATTAAACAATACCCAATAACAATCATTCAATTCACATAAAAGAAAACTACATGGTAGAGTTAGGGTTTCACAACACCCAAGTGAAAATAATAATTCTACTCCATGCTAGAAATGGGAGAAACAAAAGGAGAAGGGGTAGAAACCATCTTGGAGGAGGCTTCCAATCTTCTTGGCCCTTGTGTTGAACTTTCCTTGGAGAAAATCTTCCCAAAATCCACCTTAGAGCAAAACCCTAGCCTCCTTCTTTGGTTCGTGTTTCTCTCTCTAGAAATCAGAAGAAGGCTTTCTAACTCAAATGGGCTCTCCCCTCTCTCTTCATTTCAGCTTAGCTTTTAAACAGGGAACGAGATGTGTTCAAGACTCCAGTTCACGGTCGTGAACACTGAAACGCGTCCGTGAACTCCAATTGGGCACCGAAACGCACCGCTTTGCTTCATTGTGTTCACGGTCTACAGCCCTTGTTCACGATCTTAGTGACCGTGAACACGTCTTGCGTCAGTAACTTGCATTTTGGCTCTGGACGCCTCAAAGTTCACGGCCAATGGCTCTTCTTCACGGTCATGTAAGACCGTGAACATCCCAAGAAAACCGTGATCTCACCCTTTTTCACCTCTTCTCCCGGTTTTTAATCCTTTTCGTCCAACTTTCGACTTCGAGGCTGGTTTCACCTGTTAAATCCCGAAACACACTAAAACACAAGAAACCTAGCGTAAAACCAACTTTTTAGGAGCGAAGTTGCCACAAACGACTAAGGAAAATAGGGGCAAAACATGTAAATTAGGCTCGAATCAGTCGTACATACTTTATAGTTTGTGTTCCTTGCGATACACATGAAATAAGAGTGATGCACTAAGTTACTGGATAAAAATGAATAGGGGATTGTTTACCTAATTTTGTTTAGTGAAATTTGAAAAGGGTGGAATTTGAACATGGTAAATTTTCTCTTGATTATTCTCTTCTAATTTGTGGTACTGTAGTCCTTCACATGGGTAAAACGTAAAACAAGAACAAAATTGTTGTATAGTGATTTAATATAATAGTATTTTTGACTAATTGATATTATTGGTTAATGCCTTAATTGACATTAATAAATAATTATTCAATCAACTTACATATTAAAAAAAAATTATTATTGTATATTATAATTGAAAGCTACTAGACTTCTCTTACAGCTTCTCCCTCTGCCTCCCTCTGCCTCCCATCTATTTAAACATCCCATTTCCCCACTCGCTCCTTTCTCCAACAGAATCTAGTTAATAACCATGACACGTCATCAGTCATGGATCACCGGCAGCCTCTGCTCCTCCACCACCGCCACCGCCGTCTCCCTCTCCGACGACTCCACCACCACCTGCTCTTCTTCTTCCTCCACCGCCAGCAGCCTCAGTAGCCTCCAGAGCAATCTCTCTCTCCAAACCCACCCTTCCCTTCCTTCCCTCCAAAAATCCCCCGCCGACTATTCCCCTTACTCCTCCGCCGCCGCCTCTCCCGCCGCCGCCGACTTCCACTGCTCCAACACCCTCCGCCCCCGCCCGGACCTCCCAATCACCTGCCTCGTCGTCAACGGCGACCTCCTCTACGCCGCCTCCGGCCACCAGATCACCGTCTACCACCGCGCCACCGGCGCCCTGCTTGAGTCCTTCAACGACGCCGCCTCCGCCGCCGACGGCGGCTCAGTCAAGGCCGTCGCGTTTCTTGACGGCAAGGCCTTCTCCGCCCACCAGGACGGCAAGATCCGCGCCTGGAAACCGTCGGCGGAACGCCGGCGCCACAAGTTCCTCGCCGCGCTACCCACCGCCGCCGACAAGCTCCGCCACTTCGCCTTCCCGAGCAGCTACGTCACCGTCCGTCGCCACAGGAAGATCCTCAAGATCCAGCACGCCGACGCCGTCGCCGCCGTCGCCGGCGGCGGCGGTGGAGCGATCTACTCCGTCTCGTGGGACCGGAGCCTGAAGATCTGGAGCGCGTCGTCGCTCCGCTGCCTGGATTCCATCCCCCGGGCCCACGACGACGCCGTCAGCGCCGTTGCCGTCTCCACCGACGGCACAGTCTACACCGGGTCGGCTGACCGTCGGATCCGGGTCTGGTCCAAACCCGACCCGACGCGGCACAGGCACGCGCTGGTCGCGACGCTGGAGAGGCACAAGTCTGCGGTCAACGCGCTGGCTTTAAACGACGACGGATCGGTCCTGTTTTCGGGGTCGTGCGACCGGTCGATTTTGGTGTGGGAGAGGGAGGACAGCGCGAGCCACATGGCGGTCACCGGGGCGCTGAGGGGACACGGGCAGGCGGTGCTGTGCCTGATCAACGTCTGCGATCTGTTGATCAGCGGGTCTGCGGATCGGACGGTGAGGATCTGGCGGAGGAGTAGCGTGGACGCCAAGTACGGTTGTTTGGCGGTTATGGAGGGGCATAAGAAGGCGGTGAAGTCGCTGGCGGCGGTGGAGGGTGAGGACGGCGTCGTTTGGGTGTACAGTGGGAGTTTGGACGGGGAGGTTCGGGTGTGGCAGCTGACAGTTCCGAAAACGTACAGCCGTCCGGAGATTATTATTTGAAAAACTCTTTGACGGTTGATTGATTTAGTGGCTAACCGTGAGTGCGGGTCTTAATTCCTTGATTAATTTTGGTTTGGTTTGGTTTGGTTTGATTAGAGTGTTGATTAGTTTTGGCGTTGTATGGCTCGTGCAATGGAATCTTTGGATTTTTGGGTTTTTTTGTCGTTGAGTTTTGAGCGGGTTTTTTAATTTGAATTTGTAAATTCTTGTCGTACGTAATTAGGAATCCTTATCCGGCTATATGAACAGTTAGTTGCACTGTTCTCTTCAGTAGTGAAGTTTGATTTGTTAATGTGTAATTAAGATGATGATAATAGATTATTGAATGGCGTGTTCGGTTTGGGCACTCCATTAAGAAATTGGTTCCAGTACTCAACCACCACCCACAGCTGCAAAAACAATGCAGTTGCTTCTTCTCTGAATTCAAATATAATACAAAAAGAGATCGAGCAAGAGTCGATCGACCTAAGCAAGCAAGGGTAGTGTGGATTTTGGTCTGCGCCTAAGCTAATTTTAATAAATGGTAAGTTGGGTTGCTTGAGTTGGAAGGCACCATTTGAGGAGAGATTAGGCATCAGACAATGCAACAGCTTTATTGCATTTTGTTATGGCCGGGCAATCCAAGTATCACATTGGAGACACGAGCGAAATGACGCTTGTATATATTAGTGTTCATCTAACTCAAATTAGTAGGACATTATAAAAAAAAAATTAATTCGGGTTTGGACGAAAGCGGACCATATCATTCTAACGCAACTAACAGGTGTCGAAGTGGTATCAGAGTATGGTTTCGGAGTGCAGATGCGGGACGATGGACTTTAGTTCAGTGGAGCCTCATTCGGTGAACTAAGAATTTGAGATATGTATCAATCTGGCAAATCAAGTGGAGATCTTCATTAGGCAAACCCTTTTGTTGAAAGTCTGCCGATATAAGATCTTTGGTGGATAAAGATAATAGACGAGAGGAAAACGCTAAGTCTGTGATCCTTGTCTTGAAGGGAGGATTGTCATAGTACAATCCAAGTACCGCATCAGATATACAACGAAAATGACTATTGTATATGTGTCCACTTATCCCAACTAGTAATGACTATTGCTTGGTGGGCCCTAACCTGGTGGCCTTCGGATTTGAGATTTGCATTAGTTTGGCATATTCAGAAGAGATTTGTGTCTGTCTCGTGGATCAAAGGGTGATATGCATCTTGTAAACTTGTTGAGACCAAACACTACATTAGTATGATAATATTGTGCGCTCTAGACCAAACATGCACGGATTTACTTTTGGATTATTTTCTAAAAGGCCCTCTTACCAATTGGACTATGTAGATATCCCACGACGATGGGGAGCAGATCAGGTTAGTAACTGATGGGTCAGTAACCCATCAGTAACCCCTTCCCTTGTCCCTACGTGTCAGTCCCCTTTTTTATTTAAATTAAATGCGAAAGGACAGTAAGATAAGATTGCATTTACTCCTATTTATTGCTAACGCTGACTTTTGACCATACCACATCAGCGTCTCCTTCTCTCTTCTCAAAAAACATTTAATTTTCCTTCTCTTAATCTTTAACGGACCATTTCTCACTCGTTTTAAGTCGGAATTTAATTTTTTTGCACAGTTAGATCAGATTAATTGTGCTCTTCAAAATGATATCCAGTTTGATATTTTTTGGACATAAATTTTTTTTCCAGTTATTACTAGTCTATACCATATGATATTGACTGGTATCAAATAAGACCATATCATATGGTATGAAAAAATTTGCCACATCAATATATATTTCGTTACCACCCTATACCATATGGTACAGTGTGGTAATATCAATATATATTTCGTTACCACACAATACCATATGGTATATTGTGGTAATATAACACAATACCATACAATACCATATGGTATAGTGTGGTAATATCAATATATATTTCGTTACCACACAATACCATACATATGGTATAGTGTGGTAATATCAATATATATTTCGTTACCACCCAATACCATATGGTATAGAGTCATAATATCAATATATATTATCTAAAAGGAAAAAAAAACAGAAGGAGAGAGAAAATAAATCGTCTTCTGTCGCCTCTCATTTCCTCTTCCGCAATCGAGAACACCAAAATGTCGAAAAAATGATAAAGATCGGAATTGAGGCCAACGAGTTGATGAAGAGAAGAAATGTAATGCAAGAGAGTGGCTGCAAATTTTATTCGTCCTGGGAAAAAAAATGTAGAAAAAGAGAAGGAAGCAGATTTAGATCTAGAAAGGAGATTGAGCGAGAAAAAAGAAGAGAGAAGGAAGAGAAAAAAAAAAGAAAGGATCTGGAAAAGAGATTAGGAGAGAAAAAGGAAGAGAGAAAGATAGATGAGAGTTGCAGAGAAGTGATAATTTCTCTTTCCTTCTTTGAAAATGCAGCCATTAAATACGAAATAAAATAAAATAAAGAATTTAATGTATGTACGGACAAAAATACCCTTCCCCCTAGCGTCCAGTCCAACCACACGATTGTCTGCCTTCTAGATCTACGATCCCTATTTATTACTGACATATCAATACCCACTTGGTTACTGCCCCTATCTCCTGTCAGACGATGTGGTACTTGAAGGGTAACATAACACGACTTTCACCCTCATGCATGTGTATGTATAGTTTGAAGCTAGGAGAATGAGTCATTTTAGTCCATTTAATTATCCTCTTTCCAAACGGTTAGTAACAAAAGCCTGATGACTGATATTTAACATACATACTTGCAAAGAGAAGGGTCCAAAAACAAAAAGTTGAGGATCAGATTCAGAGATAATAAAAATTGATTGTCAAATCCACGCACCGATCGACGACTTAGTAATAGTGATGAAACTGAAGATATTGGAGCCCTAGATAGTGCAGGTTCCATCATATGCATCATCCAAATTAGAATCATAACATTTTAATATTTATAGATCGACGAAGACATGCAACTTGTTTTACAACTTGTTATATATATATATTACAGTTATTGTTGCTGTCGGGCAAGTGTTTGGCGATGGAGTTGGATGAGAAGTTAATTGGATTTGAAAGTTAGACAGGGATGGATGGGTGAGTTGTGAGTAGACCGGCCTGCCTTGAACTAATTCCAACTCCCGAATTTAAGAGCGGTACGTGGTTCTTCTGTTGGATATGTAGATGCTTATTTAGCTGTGTATCATGTCGCTAAGGCGATCGAGCCCAATTTTAATGATGATCAACCAATCAATTTCAATCATTCGAATTATTGTAAGAGGGTTAATTATACATATTATATCACTATTCTAAGAGGGTTAATTATACATATATATTATATCACTATACCATACACAAGTAACCGGAAAATTAACGGTAAAACTCAAGTAGGAAGAAGAAGAAAAAAACTGGGTATGGTCCTACAAAAAAATAGTAAGGCAACTTCAATGGAAAATGTCTCATAATTCAACAACTTCGTGTCAATAGCTCAAACACCCATAGTGTATATACATAATGAGATCGACAATTTCAACCCGTCTTGTCGATCGGGTATTATTATCCAACCTGATTTGTAGTGGGACGGGTATTACCTGACTCGCGATTGGGCGGGTATAATCCACAACCCGTAGTAGCGTGGGGCAGGGCATGCGTAACTGTTTCCGATCCACGCTGCGTCACTGCGTTCTTGGCCCATTCTATTTCAATTTCTTATAGTATTTTCCTATTTTGATTTTTCTTCAACTAGTTAGACTTGATCTTTCAATTAGTTAGACTCAGTTACTCATTCTATTATTAATATTTTCCATTCATAAAGTGTTTTCCCGTTTGCTTTTATCCTAAAAGTAAAATTTTGAGGATATATGTAAGAGTGGGGCGACTCGACTCACCCCGTCCCTTACCTACCATCATCCGCCCCATTGCCACATTGCCATCACTAAATTATGCAAGGGATATATATAGTGTTTCTACAATTTTGGACGTGTATATGCCATTATCATTTGTAAATTGTTAATTATAAGTAATTAATAATTTACAAACGACTTATAAACCAGTTCAATATATAAAAGTATCTAATTAAGTCCAGTGTGCCTTTGTGAAGTTCAGCGCGTATGAAATGCGAAATTTCGCAGCTGGTTGCAGGCCGTGAGTTGGAATTAAGGAAACAAATCGAGCTTTTGGATGGGTTAAGGAGACACATGGAATGGAATAGAGTTGACCAACTGAAAAAGTAGATCAAGTTGGGAGATTATAATGATGATCATCCAGACTTGAGCACTAATTAATGGGTACATCAAATTAAACCGCAGCAGCCCCTTTAATCGATCTGTTCCCATTAAGGGAGGAGAGTCTTTTAATTACTTTTTCCTCCCATAATCAACCCCGGCCCTTCTTTATGGGGCGCTCTAGAATAATGTAGTTAGGTCTTTGTTTAGTTCTTAATCAACTATATAGTTTTAACCACCGGCCTTAAAAAGATATATATATATATATATATATATATATATATATATATATATATATATATATATATATATATATATATATATATATATAAGTCTTCGGTTTCAATCAAGTTTGCGTCTTTTTACCTTTTCATGTTATGACTGAGCTTACACGTGCATGCAGCATGTGTTCATTAATTACAATTAATCAAAGTAATGCATTAAGCCTTGTTATGTGAAATGGATCGGGCTGGCTGATCGTATCAATAGAATCGTCAACTGATTGTAATAGCGAGTATATATGTTTGTTTCCCATTTGCTTTAACTATTCCCCAACAATTCTATTATAGTCAATCATCAAACTATGAATTCGTAATTTTCCTGGTTCTGCGTCCATTGTAGTTCTCAAAACAGAAATGTCCTATCTTATTAATTAGGGTTAATACCTTAGTTTGGCCCGAACTATACACATACTTTCTACTTTGGCCCGAATTATTGAATATTGCTACTATGGCCTGAACTATGTTGCAAACTTCCTCATATGGCCTGGAGGTGCGTTTGACCGTCAAAACAGACGGTC